CATATTATTACCTATGTTTTACAAGTCTCTACTTGTTAGTTCATGTAATATCTATGTATTGTGTTTGCGCATCATTGAACAGCGGAGACTTGCTGAAAGTAAATATCACTCATCGCACTTTATTTTTTATTTCATCTTTAGAAATAAATTAGTATTTTTTTCGTAATCATTAAAACTCCCAATGAAACGCTTTATTTTACTTTCATCTTATAATGTAGGAGAACATAAATTAATTGAGCCTAACCTGTCCGTATGGATGAGAGTGGCCCTACACTTTTAGTTACTTACTAGAAAATAAATTAAATTATTCGAATTTATGATATTCCTGTATGATCTTTTTTATTCATATAAAATTCTATTTTACTATCTCATCCCGGAATTTCCCGGGATAAGAAATTATTTGTCCAGTAATCCCGCTGGAGGCAAATTTCCCGGGAAATGAGAAACCCTAGTCAGGACATGCAATTTTATATATATAGATATTCAAATTGTAAAAAATAGCAAACATAAGTTCTCTAGCAAGTGACCATAAAGTTACTTATATGAGAGAATTTAGTGTCTCCTAGTTAGAGAATATCATGATAACGAATTCAATGAATGAGGACTTGATTGTGGATGTAATATGATGTAGCCTTCTCAAAGTTTAGACTTCAGACATTCAGAAAATTCTCAACTCTACAATTCAACAGTTATTAATTAACACCAGATATTACTATAATATCTGGTGTTAATTAAACTATTAATATGGAATACCAACTATTAATATACTCCAACTATTAATATGGAATACATTTAGAAAAATTAAAATTTGTGCAAATAATGGATTACAATACTCTTTTCACAGGATTTCTTAAAATCAAAATTAATTCTCTTAGATGATTTTTGCATACATTGGCTTCTTAAGCTTTATCTAATCCATTTAAAATAACTTAATAGCCAAGTCATTTAAATCTGTTTAGCGTCCTTGCTGCTTTATATATTAAAATAGTGGCTATTTCAACACACAAAGTAACATGAATATTGGTCAGAACTCTTTAAAAGTTGTTGCAATAGAAATAAATAAAAGAATGAATTTAGAATGTAACAACAGTTTTACAGGTTGTCAAAAAGTTACTATGCAATGAGAAATTTGTAATAACATTAAAGTTATAAGTGTGGCATTATATACAAGACCCGTAAGTTTATGTCCCACATTTCTACTTTGTGTAGATGGCATTACTGCTTGCTCACAATACATTTTGGTGTTTGGTACACTTTTTTGCCCATTACAATCTCCCATGGAATTTGGCCTATTACATCTCCAGACCTCATTCCTCCAGATTTTGGAGTCTCTAGGGGACATTTCTAGCATTTGCCATAGAGAAACTACAATATGCAAAACTTAAATCTTTCATATTGCACAGTAACTTTTTGACATCCTGTATATAGAGTACAATATTGAATGCAAAAAAATGACACCACAGTTAAAAATAACCTACATACCATAATGTAATGTTAACTGGTGCTTTAACTAAAGTACACTTGAGAATCACAAATTTTATAAAATGGAAAGTATCCTTCTTAACAAAGAAATAAAAATTATGTTTATGAAAGTATTGAAAGAAACATTTTTCTGATGAAAATGGTGAAAGTATTATGTTGATTACTCTTAAAACTGTCTTTGACAATTGGGTAAGTAGTTTTTAAACGAGATTTAATGTTTATGTTCCAATTCACAAAAAAATTTTTCATAAAATAATGGTATAGTAATTGATTAATCATTTAATAATCATTTTTATTCAGATTCTATAAAGAATTTATTGATGACCCCTAAGACTAAATGACTAATTAAATAACAAACCAGATTTATTGTTAGGCCACTTCTGGCTAAGTAAATATACAAATGCTACATTATTTGAACTAGATAGGCATGACTTAAAAAAAATTATTTTTTGTTGAATAAGAAATACATGTATTTTAATTTTCATTTGCAAAAAACAAACAACAAAAAATGAATAAAAACAAAGAATAAATTAAAATGTAAATACATTAGTACTTTATTGCTTGTTGTTCACTATTCTTTGGAATTAAGCACAAAGTTGCTACAAAGAACTTACCATACATATTAAGGAATGAGAAGGGGGCACATGGCCCAAAATACATTTCCTTTTATAAAAAAAAAATAAAATCTCCTTTTTCCATTGAAAAAATGTTCCTGTATGATAAGTTCTCCATAGCAATTTTGTACTTAATTCCAAAGAATGTAAATATTTAATGTGGATGAATTAAAAAATTTCTGTATCTGTACAAAATTCATCATTACTTAATGTTAAAATGAAATTTTTGTGTACATTTGTGCTATCAAAGCATTTTTTCCTTCCCCATATTTTAAAATAAAGACAACTATATGAAATTTAAGTATTTATTAATTATATAACATGAAATTATGGTATTTTTATATATATATATATAGTAGTAAAAGCATAATGTAAATTTATACCAATAAAAGACACATGAAATCATTATGGAAATTTCATGCATCTTTAATTATAAAACTTTGTATGTAAGAATAAAATATTTGAAATCTCAGAGTTTAACTTTCAGAGAGTTCAGAGATACATATGCTTATGAAAATAACCCCAAATGAAATTATTCCCATTAAACATTAGTGCTTACTACACTACAGAATATATCAGTTATAGTTCAAATACAAAAAAAAGTCTTTTGCACACAGTCTATACTTCATATTCTTCTAGCTCTTCAGGAATGGGAAGCATTATAAAATATAACTTTACGTTATCTCGTCGAATGTTTTTGATACTATATGGATTACCAACTGGAACGTGAAAGGTATCACCAGTCTCTAGTATAAATGTTGTATCATTGATTGTAACAGCCACTTTGCCATACAACACATTAAAGAAGGCAGAATGTTTTGGAAAATATTGTAATGGTTTCTCCTGAAGTGAACTTATTTTCATAAAGCCTGTTATAACATTGGGAAGAATTAATGATTTGGCAAGTTGTAAAGGATCATCTTTAGAAGACTGATTTCCTTCTGGAGTTACCCATTCAAGAGACTTGTAGAAACTCACCAATTCTGGCATAGCTAGATCTCCATTCATAAAATCATTTGCAGAATATACTTGTTTATTTAAGTCATTTGAAGTTGTTGCATCAATAAATGACTTATCATGTATGGATAATTCAGAACATTTAGACATCTGTAATGTATTTGCTGATTTACTACTTTTAGTATTTGATGATTTCTTCTTTCTAACATTTTTTTTAGTCATTGATTCAAATCCTTCTTCAATTCCAATGGTTTTAAGTTCTTTATCGTATTTTAATCTTTGATTTCTCCAATACTCTAAAGGTGGAACACGAGTTCTCCTTGATCTCCTCACTCCCGGTGTAGGTGATTGAGCAGGAGGCAGAGTTAACAGTTTTCTCTCTTTAGATTTTTTAACACTCTTTTCATTATCCATTTTCTCAGTTTCATTCATTTTTCTTTTTCTACTGCTTGAGTTTCTATTGGAACCATTCAGTTCTTTTCCTTCACTTGTGTCAAGGAATGACTTATTTTGTTTCTTGTTTAAATTAACTGGAGTTTTACTTTGCTTTGAAACATCTTTATTTCCTTTCTGTGATTTATTTTTACTGGTATTATCATCTCTATCTGAAGAATATGTCTCCCAATCAGCATTATCAACAGAAAATTGGGATGCAACTGAATTATTTGTGTCATTTAAAACTGATTTTTGATTTCTCTTAGAGGCATTCAATGCTGAATTTTCTTGACTTTGTTGAAAGTTCACAGAGCTTTCTTCCTTTCTTCTGGAATGCTGTTTTGAAGTATTACTTTGACAAGATATATTCTTTCTATTAGAGTGATTACGTTCAGAATGATGTTTAGAAAAAACTTCATCCGACTCGTAATTCGAATGAGACAAAACAAAGGTATTATCATCTAATTTATCAGGTGGTTCTTCTTCCAGAGAGATCACATTACTTGTAAACCTCGGAGATCTCCTAACAGATTTATTTACAGTTTTCTTAGCTACATATTTTGGAATCATACTGCGTCCGGCCTTCTTCTTTTCATTATTCGCTTTGTCTTTTCTTTCACTCAAATCACCAGTTGAGAAACCACTCTTTTGGGACGGCTTTTGCTTTTTGCCACCTTTACTCCCGCTGGAAGCACGGCTTTTCGACACGGGAGAAAAGTCATCATCTGCATCCTCGCCACCAGAAAAGAGGCTACCATCCAGATGACTTTTACCCAATCTTGAAACCCTGCTCCCATCTTTAGAAGCAGTAGGATTATTCTCCGACAACACGTAAAGTGACTTCCTATGTAACGAAGTACTACCACTGGAGCTTTCGGCAGGGCACGACACCGTAGTGTGTCTGGGCGTCTTCTGCCTTCTTATAGAGCAAACTTTCTGAGCAGGGGTCTGATCATCAGAGAACTTTAACGTTCTCCTAGTTTGGAAACAGACTCCTTTACATGCTTTAGCCATAGATTCTGCAGCACTGTCATTAACACTTAGGCTATTTCTATAGCTTTTTGTAAAAGGGGTGTCTCCACCCACGCAACTCGAATTTCCTTGATTGACAAGCGATTCATTTCTGTTAAAGCCAGTATTTTCTTTATTGTTTGTTGAAGAATCACTCACCTGCTCGTTCTCCGAATCGGTCCAATAATCGTCGAACAACTCCAATCCGTCGGGTAACTTTCTTACCGTCTTTCCACCCAACACGTCTTTGCCCGTTCTTCTTCCGAATTTCGGATTTGTAATGTAAGAAAAATTCCGTTCCAACGCCATTTTGAAGGCACGAGTCAGAATTCGCGGCACATGGTTGGAAATATCCTTCCGCCGTTCGATTTCACATTTTCGACCGCTTCACACCTCAACGGTGAAACGTGGGTCTACGCTACGGAAAATATTTCCCGTAATTATCTACAAATTTTTAACTTCGCAGTGGTTTTTAATTCACAAAATAAATTAAATCGTATAATAAGTCGTTTTCGAACGTATATGGTGAGAAACAGAAAAGATTATTCGACTAACTTTCAAACAGAATTTAAAATTTACATAGCGAGTATTTGTAATAAAAAGATTTTAATAATACTTTTTATAATGTAATAAAAAGATTTTAATAATACTTTTTATTATATTTAAATGTTTTTAAAGAAAAACCTTTAAGTTAAAATGAGAATAATTTTATGGATTATAAAAAGACTTTACATTCCCGATATGCCTTGGGCGATTACGTTTGAAAATGTTAGCTTTGTGTTCATTCGTCAATTCTGAATAACGTCATAAGCGTCTAGCGACCGGGCGCGTTCCAACTTACTCTGATGGTGTCTCCCTCTGTCGGACAGTTTAGGAACTATGATATGTTCAGAAAAGAGTTTAAATAAAGTAAAAAATAAGAACTAAGTGTCAGTTTTTAGTTTTATTGGAAGGAAAATTAATTTTTTTTCCAGAAATTTTGATATTTGTGTCAATAAAGACTAATTTTAAAAAATTCAACATTTACTTCACTTTGCTGCTATTTAGGTTTGAGTAATGTAAAAAATTTTCTATTTAGATTAAACACTTTCTGAATAGTGGCTGGCACCAGAGCTTTGATGTTAGAAGTCAGAGAGCTGAAGACTGAGTCTGTAAAGAAATATGACTGTCTATAGACTTAAAACAAATGGCATTGAATCTTCTAAAACTAATGAATTTTATATCCATAATTAAAGATAAATTTCAATTCACTGTATGCTATTTATATAAACAATTCAATTCTTTGCTTTTTATAAGATGTTCCAAGATTCCTAAATCATAAAACTGATTAAATAAGTGATGTAACTGATAATGTAAAAAATGCTTTTTTTCAGATACTTTATTTCTTGATTACAAACCCTGTTTTGGGTAATCTGTATTCTAAAAATAAAAAATAACTTTTTTAAAATGACCACAAACTTTTAAAATATAAAAAAATTTAAAAACATGTTAAGAAAAATACATCATAGAAATACCAAATATATAGAATTTTAATTTACAAAATGCTAAAACATCCATGTAAAAAAAGTTTTTACATTCATGTTTTAGCATTTACAATTATTTTAGCAGCAGTTCTCTCTATTTCCTCTAAGCTGGGAGTTAATTTCTGATATTTTCTTTTTGCATCTTTCTTTGTCTTGAAGAGAGTTCTTTTCTGCGGGTCAATTTTTTTGTTACCTGGTACTGAATGGGCTGAAACAAAAGAAGACTTGTCTGTTACATCAACGGCTGAAAGCTGTGGACCCAAAGATTTTAGGGCTTTATCTACTACTTCTAGTTGGCTCTCAGACATTGATTCCAGACCTGCTTCAAGATTTTTAAGAGCTTTCCTAACATTTTCTCGCAATCTTGAAGGTGTTGAAGTTGATGGTGTGTTTAGTTTGTCTATGAGTAATGACGACTCTTCCTTTCTTTTATCTTCAAAAATAATCAATCTTTCATCAATCATTTCTGCACTTGATGAATTTAATAATTCATATTGCAATTCTGTATTAATTTGTTCATTTTCTTTATTTTTTGTTGGAAATTGTTGCAATTCTTTAGTTTGAAGATATCTGCAAACTGTGTGAATATGTTTGCACATGTTCCAATGAACTGTTGAATCAAGACATGTACAGGTGAAATGATGAATACATGCTTTACAGGGAACACACACTATCTGGCACTTGCAGTCCTTAGTTACTTTTTCTACATGATAAAGTTCTCTTTGTGATGAAGATTCTACAATCCAGCCTTCTTCTTGTTCAAGGACCTGCAAACTTAAATTTTCACTCAGTTTATGGCATTTTCTTAAGTCTCTTAATTTACTAGTAACTTTGCCTTTGTGAAGTACTATCAATCTGTCAAACGTTTTATGTTTTACAAACTTCATGATAGCATTTATTGCCTTATCTAGTCGTTTGACATTTTTGCCATGTAAATAAATATATTTCAAAGTCCTGTGCATTCTTTCCAAATGGGCATTTGTGTTTAGACCACTCCACTTCCTGTGACAGTAAGCCCATGAGGTGGGATTTTTCATGTATACATTTGAAAAATATGTAGCAAAATCAATGGTATCTGGGTCTTCTTTAAGTTTCCTCATGATCTCATCTGCCAAGAGATAAAAAGCATCTTGATCTCTTTCTTGAAGTAACACTCGTAATTTTAAGTAAGTTTCTGCTTGCTTTTCTGTGATACGAATTTTATTGAGATTTCTTCTCCATGCTCGATCTACATGCCAAGTACAGAAGAGTCTTAACTGAGGCTGATTCATAACTTGAATCCAAGCATTGAAAAATGCTTCAGCCATGTCAGACATGAAAACCTTTGGAGATATTATTCCAACCTTTTCTTTAATGCTTTCAAAAAATAACTCATAAATAAGTTGATCAGTCCTGTTTGAAATAAGAAAGGCACAAGGGAATCCTTGTCTTATGTCATCAATTATCAATAATGTGGTTAGTTCAAAGTCATAACTGTTCATTCCATGTGTCCCATCTATGCATATACAATCAGCACTAAATTGTTGCAACATGTGCTGCTGAATATCATTCATTATTATTAAAACAAAGTCTTCTTTTACTAATTTTGTTTCATTTGAATAGATTCCTTGGGGTTTATAAAATAAAACACAAGAGTCATTATTAATTTTCATTTCATTTACCCAAACATCTACAGATATTCCATCATCTTGGTGCTTTACACCATCTTTTTGTAAATTATATGCTTGTTCAATGTTGTAGAGATCCTTTTTTGTTAACAGATGTAGTCTGTGAAGTGTAGAATCAGAGAGAGAATCTCTGATTTCATCAAGAATAACATCCAATGGTATTTTTTCAGCTATTTTACTTGCTAATGAGAAACGTTGTGATGCTGTTAAAGTTAAATGTCCCATGTCTATGTCATGACTCACATGTGTTTTTGTGAATTTTACAGTACATTCACCATTTTCTTTTTGAATGACCTTCATTCCTGCTGGGCAGTAAGCATTTATTTTGCTGCTACCCTGGGTCTTAAGATGTCTAATTCCATTACCTTTGGGTGTATATATTCCAGAGCGGTGACAAGAAAAATACAGTTTGACTTGTCCTGCATACCTTGAATCAGGACCTCTGGTAGTTTTAACAAATTTAGCATATGTCTTTTGTTCAGTCTCTTCTTTCCATGCTATAAACAAGTCTACTGAAGAAAATGTCAGTACTTCTTCTTGTATTGTTAATTCATGAACGCTGTTAAAATGTTCCAGCAGAAGTTTTTTGGAATAACTAGCACCACACAGACCACAGTTCAAAATGTTCGAATTATCAGGTGTTTCAATTATTTCACCATGGTCATTCCGGAGATGATAACGTAGCCGGCGATTTTGATTGAATTTCCTGGAACATAAATGACAAGGAAAATTAAACACTTTCTGCAACTTCTTTGGATTCACTAACTCGTTCACGTGATCTGGATGAAAATTGTTTGTATGCACTTTTAAATAACGAAACTGTTTAAAAGTCTTTCTGCACAATGTGCATGTGTAACTATTTACAATGTCAGTTTCTGCAGAAGCCGTAAGTTCAGGTATTTCATTCACGATGTCGGCCATCTCAACAATAAGGACAAATCTTCGGATATCAAACAAACTACTACTTAACCCAAAGACCTTGCACTAGACCAAATAGTTCCTAAACTGTCCGACAGAGGGAGACACCATCAGAGTAAGTTGGAACGCGCCCGGTCGCTAGACGCTTGTGTAGAATTGATCAAAATCCTTTCTTAGCGGATGCCTACGTCATAACATCTACCTGCATGCCAAATTTCAGCCCGATCCGTCCAGTTGTTTGGGCTGTGCGCTGATAGATCACTATGTCAGTCACCTTTGAGTTTTATATATATAGATTTAATAACAATTTCAAGCATATAACCATAATCTTGAGTACAGACATCAATAATTTTTTTTAGTTATTTCTCAAATAACACCTTGTTAGCATTGTTTTCTTTCACATTTACTTAATTATAATGCTGCTTTAATTTTGATTTTATAAAAAAGGACAGAGATATTTTACAAATTAATCAAATGTCTGCATCTCATTCTTAAAATCTACATTCTCTTCAAACTTACAAGATACAGTAGAACCTCGATTATCCGCCCCCCNTAAATAACGAAACTGTTTAAAAGTCTTTCTGCACAATGTGCATGTGTAACTATTTACAATGTCAGTTTCTGCAGAAACCATAAGTTCAGGTATTTCATTCACGATGTCGGCCATCTCAACAATAAGGACAAATCTTCGGATATCAAACAAACTACTACTTGACCCAAAGACCTTGCACTATACTGAATAGTTCCTAAACTGTCCGACAGAGGGAGACACCATCAGAGTAAGTTGGAACGCGCCTGGTCGCTAGACGCTTGTTAGCGACGAGGCCGTTGCCCTAGCAACAACCGGCAAAATGTACAATTTGTAGCAGTAAACAAATTAGTCAAAAATTTAAATTGTTCTATCTTGGTTAATATTTACTATTTTTTAACGAAATTTTAAGAGAGCAATGCTGAAGACATTATCTTTAAGATGCACTAAAAAGTTTTTGAAAAAGTTAAAGTCCGGAGTTGATGCGACCAATCAAATCCCGCCGAAGTCAAATTTTTGAGTTCGAATATTTCTTTCCAAAAATCGATCTAACCCTCCAAAAAGTTAATATTTGTACTCACTATTACTGTACTTTCAAGATGTTATCCATAAATTCGGGAAATCGGTCCCCGATTTTTGTCTGAGCGGTCCTCAAGTAGCGGTAAATTCTAGCGACCGTAACTAAAAAAGTTACGGTCACACATTAAAAACAATATCACCACTGTAATCCTTATATTTTAGCAAATCCAACGATATAAAACACTTTATAACTAGAGCACAAAAACCGCGCTAAATTCAATCCGGAAACGGAGCTCTCAACAACGCGTCTGCTCTTCACGAGATAAGAACAGATACTTTTAATTAGTTTATTAATATCCAAGGAACATTACAAAAGCACCAGCAAGCTGGTGTTTAAAGCATACAGCAGTCTACAATAACAGAGATAACATAGCCCATAATATTTTTTAGGGAATAAATACAGATATATACAGGTAGATACAGAGGTGGATATTATGGGTGGCAATTATATGATGATAAAGTTTAATACAATAATATAATGTAAGTGTGTGACAACGATTAGAGACAACATTGGGTAAAGCTTGACACAATTATAAACAAAATTTCCAGAAAGCATTGATATTAACATGAATGGAGACACGTTTTAACAGTTGGAGAGGGTATCGCATACACAAGGAGGTTGTACATACATATGTGACAACAAGTGAGATGATGGTTAAGTCCAGTCATTGTTGAATATGTATTTGTTGTTGATCTTCTTTCATATGACGTCTATTGTCCCATGGTATAATTGTATGAAGTCTTTGTCAGTGAGAAGCTCACTATCCTTTTGGATTTTGAGGCTAGCTTCTTCTTTAATCTTGTTTATGCATATGGTCGAGTTTCACTTTTTGTTATCGAAGTGGAGGGTGCACCTTGCCTTTCAAATTGTCCTGTTGACTAATGCAACCATCCAATTTAGACAGTAGCTGTTATAAGTGGTTCTGGGAAAGTTAGTGTGGTACATGATATTACTCCAATTTATGTCGATGTTAAAGATTTTTTTGAGCCAGTTCCAAGTGTGATAGGCAGTGGAGCATTCAACGAAGAGATGGAAAGTTTTTTTATCTTTAGTACAGCGTGGGCACCTGGCGCTCCTTAGAAGATGGTGTCTGTGTAGGTAGTCTTTGGTCATTGTTATATTGTTAATAATGCGCCATGTCGTTTCTTTCCATTCCGCTGGGAGCCTGTTCACATTTATCCAGCACTCTCTCCAATCTATTGTGCTATCATCCAGATTTGGGTTGGGGTATTGTGAGTAGATATTACTGTAGATTGTGCTAGGTTTTATCCTGTCATAGTTGATGTTGGCATCAAGGAGGCATTTAATCATTGATCTCCACTGACTGTATTGTTTGCTGTTATCAATCAGGAATGGCTTATTAGCTGATTCACTGTTAATACGTCTAGTGATCAGGCCTAGAATATAAGTAGCTAGGTCTGTTTCTGGAGAATAGAGTTGATCAGGTTGGATAACTGTAATGATTGTTCCAGTGTTTTTACGTCCCAGATCCTCCAGCCTTTTTGGTTGATGTCGTTTTTTATTATGCTCCTATTTAGAGGTTTGAAATCCTTCTGCCGAATATATCTAAAGATTATTTTCTCAATTGTTCTTGTGTCTTTTTTGTTCAGGTTGGTGTTATATAGGATGTATATAATTTTGGCAAATAAGACTTTATTCGCGACAATTGCATGTTTGGGCATATATAGCCATATTTTTTTTCCCATCTTTCTATGGCTTCTTTTATTTTCCTTGTCATTTCCTTCATGTTTTTTGTGCTTTTATCTTTACCGTACCATATTCCTAGTATTTTCTTGTTGTTAACAGCTTTAAATGTCAGACTTTCCATGTTGCTTTGGCCGAAGATGTTATTGATATTGCTTTTATTTATATTAATTTTCATGCCTGTGGTGGTACAGAACATGTTGATTGCCATGGTTATTCTATTTAGTGCGACGTTATCGTTGATAAAAAAATTAATATCATCGGCGTGTGCTACATATTTTATCTTCTTGCACATGCCCGGTATGTAGATGGGTGTTATCAAGTTGTCGTCATTGACCATATTTAGTAGAGTCTCAATATATATTGTGAAAAGAACCATCGAGCAAGGGTAGCCTTGCCTAACTCCTGCTTCGCATTCAATATAGTCAGAGTTTTTTCCATTAATCACGATTTTGGTCTTAGGTTGTAAATATAGGTAATTGATCTTTTTGATTTCTTCCTCATTAAAGCCTAAGCATTCCAATGTGCTCCATAGTATGTCTCTGTTTACTGTATCAAAGGCCTTTTCTACATCTACGGTGAGGATGGATAGGGGCGATTTTCTCTTAATGCAGGGGTGGCCAACCTTTTGCATACCATGCGCCAATTTTTTGACAGACGAGTTCAGATGCGCCATATAACTCGAACACTTTTTATACAGTCTTACGTTCAATGTTAGGGGTTGATAAATAGAGATAAGAATAAATCTGCTTTGCTTAGGAAAGAAAAGGGAATAACTTAATCACGCAGTTGAATTAATTAATTTATGACAGTTTATTGAAGCACCAATTTACAATAGTCAACAATGATCTCCTGTATGAGAGGGTGATTGCCTCATGATGGTGCTATTGCTACCACAGTCTCGTTTGGTGAAGATTACTCTGCACCACAATTATTGGCACTGAGAACGAGATCAGCTTGAAATAACTTTAATCACAATAAACGTTTTCGTCCATTTACACGCCTGTAAACTGATCGGAAAAAAAGATCGCAAGACTCAAAATACATGCATACATTGTAATTTACTACGTGGAGAATACTCATTTTATCTGCAAAATAGACCGTAACGAATTGTTCAACAAATGAACTTGCCAAGACAGACTATAAAAAATTTATTTTTTTACATAATATAATATTCTTAATCGCAAAAAAGCCAAATCTGGCAATTTTGCTCAGAACTAACTGAAGCACCACTTGTAATTGTCCAATGCGCCACGTTTTGGCCACCCCTGTCTTAATGTATGTATCCTGTATTAGATTAAGAAACATTGTATTATTTTGTATTGTCCTGTCCTTAATACCTGCTGTTTGAGTTGCACTGATGTGATTGTGGAGAATATTTTTGATCCTTGTAGCTATAATAATACTGTGTATCTTATAGTCAGAATTGAGTAGGGTGATGGGTCTGTAGTCGCTCACATGTCCCATAGTATTTCCTTTTTTGTTGATGAGGTTCATCCTTCCTATACTGAATTCTTGATTCCTGGTATTGTCGTTATATAATTCGGAGAGGATCTCTGTCATGTCTTCTCTAAAGAAGCGGTATAGTTCAGCTGGCAGCTCATCTATTCCGGGAGCTTTCCTTGTGTGTAGTTCTTCTATTGCTTTTGTGACTTCTTCCTTTGTAATTATTTTGTTAATTAGATTTTCACTTTTCTGTTTCGCAGGCTTGATTGTTTTTTTAATGCTCTCCCATATGTCCCACTTAGTTTCGGGCCTTCGATACAGGTTTTTGTAGAACTTGTGGAATTCCATGATGATTTCGTTTTCGTCTTCTGTCTGAGTGCCGTTGATTATTAGGCTGTTTAATAGTGATGACTCTTTTGGTTTTGGTTTCTTCTTAAATAGTATTTTTTCTGTGTATCTTTCTATCCCCAATCTGCTCATCCTATATTTTGTATAGGTTTCCTTTATCCTGTATTCCATTTCGTTGCTAATCTCTTTTTCAATCTGTTCTGCTCCTTTTTTGTCATTGGTAGTTATTTTGTGACTTAATTCTCTTTGTAGTTGCTTCATTCGATTGAAGTTGTTTCTTTTAATACGAAGCCACGTTTTGTTTGTTATCTCAGTAATCTTCTGTTTTGTTTCTTTCCAGGTTCTCCACGTGATATTGGTCTTGATTTTGTCAAGAGTGTATTTAACATCTTTTTGGAATGTCGTATCAGAAAGTATGGTATTATTTATTTTAATTTTGTTTATTTTTCTTTTGATGATATTAAGATTTATGGACATATTGATGAGTTTGTGGTCAGATATCTTCTTACCATGGTTAGATAGGAGAATAGCGCTGTAGCTGATTGTTTTGCCTATGTCTCTGCTGAGGTAGAACCTGTCAAGTCGCTCTTTAATTCCTCTGCCTTCCCAGGTGTATCCCTCTGCGTGAGGGTAGAGTATACGGTA